GCTACAAAATGTATACTACTACTAATTATTTGTTAGTTTCAACGTAAGTCCAAATAAGAGAGAACAGAATTAAATGATCGCATTATGGGAAGATTGACGCGTGAATGCGAACGGATTCGAGTGTTATTTCAGAATACAATCGTTCGTCTCACGATCACTTTGATAAAGGGCATTCTTCCCGCCACTCTGTCCGATTGTTTCGCGAATGAATCGCGCCGACGGATAGAGCGTGGTCCGTCGACCCGGCGCCTCCTATCGAACCGACCCGTTCTCGAGAGCTTTTCCTCGTCGCGAACGAGACAGGGGCGTAAGAATGTACAGCGGTACGTTCGCTTATTTTCATCGAGCATCGAGCGGAAAACGAGAGCTCGAAGGAAAGAGAGACGAGCTCGTACGCGTACAGCGCGTACAGCGCGTACAGCTACGTTCATTTTCGTCGGTCATAAAATAGTAACGGAACACTTACAGGGTAGTACATCCCTTGCGGAGGAAGGAAAAACGCCCCAGAGCCCCACAGTTTGAGGCCGTTTTGCTCCACCGTTGTGCAAGAAAACAAATCCGTCACTCCGTACCGCCGCCTCCCCCACCTCCGCCTCCACCGCCGCCTCTCTTCTACGCTGCCTGCTTATGCTCTTCCTCTCTACGGGCACACTCCTATCTCTTCTCCTTTCCGCGTTTAGGCACACTACTATGACGCGTTGTTCGTCGCGACGCCTCGTCCCTCCGTCGCGGAGATGTCGAGGGCACAAAAAAAAAACGAGATCGACACGACCAACGACGCACGTCCGCCTCCTAGAATCCCGCACTCACCGAAACGAGGTAGAAGATACACACGCGATAATACATACACGCACGCGCGCGCACCAATGGACCCACGCACCGGAATTAGCAGCGCACGAATCGTTGGAGCTTTAATGCTGCTGAAACGAGAATGGAACGGTGGCGTTGTACTGGATACGCCCGCCCGCTGTTTTTCTGTCACCCTCTCTTTCTCTCTCTCTCTTTCTCACAGCGATGCTTCCCGTCCACGATATCGCTTTCTTCTCGCGATCGTTCCGCGTTTTTGTCTCTGTCTATCGAGTTTTTGCGACTCTCTATCTCCACGACCGTCACTGTACGTGGTCCCGACGTGACTAACAACGATCCCGCTATCAACCGGCGCCATTGACCACTAGCGACGCCACCAGACACGCCGATCTCAGCGCCGCCGCGCGGTCGCCCTCGCGTACTACTGCGAGACTCGAGCTCGATCTCGATGTGGAGCGCACGTATGTGTGCATCTATATATGTATGCATACGCGCGGTTAATCAAAGCCCGGTGAGACTGTGCGACGCGATTGACTCAGGATTTACACTTGACGTTTCGGCAAACACATCCTCTTATTTATACATGCGCGCGTATACCGACGTCTTTATTCACTAAGATACGACTACTGTCTTGTTAAAAGCATTTTGTCACCACATTCAAGACTCTATCTATGTACTGTGTATATATGCTTTTGTGTACGTGTATATTTATGATTTTTTTTTTTTTCAATAAAATAATCTTACTTGAGAAATAAAATTAGTCGTGTGTGTGTGTGAGTGTTTTCTAAAATATCTTTTCTCTTTTCTGTAAAAAGATATGTTGTGGGATTTTTTTTCATACATTGAGAAAAAGGATAAACTATAATTGTATAATAAAAAAGATTATAGTTGAGGTTTCTATTTTTATAATTATTACTATTATAATGTGTGTGTGTTGATAATAATAACGTATATGTTAGTAATAATAATATTAAATATAATTGCCGCCAAAAATAACTATAATTTATGATAACTATAATAATTTTTTTCTTTCAGTATATACTTTCTTATATATTATAATTTACGCGATTTTATGTAATTATATATATTTCGTATTATTTAGCTTCAATACTTCTTTGCAGCAAAAAGTAAGAATGTTTAGATCTTTCTTTAACGCGCGAAATCAATCTAAAATTGTTCGAAAGAAAGACGTTCGTAGATACGGGAAGAGATAATCGGTTTCTCGCTTGCTTTCACAATTTTCTTGAAGCGAAGCAATTACACAGAATTGCGAAATTGTTCATCGCTCGTTATTCGTGCTTCGCACTCACGCATCGCGTGCTCATTATTGTTTCTTATTGCCCTATTCGTATAAACGATACTTTTTCCCATCGTCTTTCCCGATAAGCACGCTTGCAATATGTCCTCTTCGCTAATTCCATGATTTTAATCAATATGCTGTGAAACATTTCAACGTAAGAAATACTGCATCGATTGAATAATCCGTATTTTGCGCAAGTATGCATATCATCTTAATAAGATTCCACGCGTACAATCTCTATGGATTATCTATCTAATAGAATTTCAAAATTTTATCAACTCTCCTAGCGATTTAAACTTTGTAGAAGAGATATTTATCTCTCCGCTCCCACAAGACTATCAAAGATAATTAATTACATATCCGACGTATGTGTGTCTAGCTGTATTACGTGATTTTTAGACTTTTTAGAAAATAATTTTACTTTATACATACATGAATTATTACTTGACAATTCTTTCGGTTAATTTTAAAGAGAAGATTGCAATATATTTTTTTCTTTTTTTATATAATAAATCATCAAAAGCCATACATGTGTAAAAAAAAAAAAAACAGCAAAAATTACGAAATATTGTATCGTATTTGTTCAAGAGCTATTAACTCTTTGGGTAGACTAGTTGTACGTGCTTCCGAGCTTCCGAGTGATAAGTTATCGATCGCGGTCTGTAATTATGACGGCGCTGACAAGCCCGAGTTACATCGTCGTCTAGAGCGGTAGACTACTATTTCAGTCTCGTCGCGCGTTCGCCGCATTCGTCCGGTTCGATAAAGTCAACGAAAGTTCGTGCAAGTGGAACCGACTGACGAGCGAGAGCGCGCGGCAAAAGTTCGGCGGAAGAGCTGTCGGGGAGGAAGTTGCGGGAGACACAACGAAATCCCGTTCAATTTATCCCCCTGGAACGTGGCCAGGGATAGGAGTCCGCGCCATGGAGGGACGAATAATGTGAAAGGCGCGATATCGCGATGGTCCAGTCGCCGGCAATTACAATTTATAACCCTTGCGAACGGGATGGAACGCGGGATTTTTCTCGCCCAAATGTGGCGCATCCGTTATTATCAACACAAATCCGCAAAACCTCGTAATACTGACAAATAGACACGCGCTGCCGAAACTTGTTTAAAGAGCCCTCCCAGCTCCCAGTTCGTTATAGTTTATCGCGAATCGATCTACCTCGTTATTCTGCGTTAACACTTTCTCCGATAACGAGCGATGACGAAGGAATAAGGGAAAGTATAAACGATAAACCGCAAACGAATCGTCTGCCGAGTAGTTGTGTACGCAAGAAGTAGGAAGTATTTCGCCGTTTATGGATCGCCTCGCATATATATATATATATATATAGCGAGCTATATATATATATATACATACATACATACACAAAAAGCTTTGCATTTGCGAATAGAAATTAGACGCGTAAAGGTAGACGTGCGATAGGTCGCCCACACTCACCTCTCTCGTTGCGCCGCAGGTAGATCCGCAGCCGGTCGAAGCGGACGAAGCAGCGGGGGTTGCACGGGACGACTATATGGGGGCCGAAAGTAACCGAAAGCACGCGGGCAAGACTTCCGTTGACGTGGATGGTTACTACGCACGCCTCCCCGGTCACCGCTTGGCCTACCTGCCTCTCTGCCAAGCGGGGAAAAGGAGAAAAGCGGAGAGAGATATACAGGCGGGTGAACAGAAAGAGAGAAGGAGAGAGATAGAGATAGCGTTACGTGCGATGCGGCGAGAGATCGAAGTCTCGTGGCAAACGTTCGTAGACTGAGTGAACCCTGAGTTCAGACTGAGCGGCGCTTAGGCGACATTAGCGCCGTGCAACGGGGGGCGAAGGAGTCACCATCGATCCGTCGAGGGTGGTATGGGAAAAGCCCCCTAGAGGGGAGGGGGACGAAGGGAGCGGGGGGAGCGGGGGGAGGAGGACGTGTGGTGTGCAGCGGGAATCGGGTGCCCTCACCCTGACGGAAAGACAAGGATAAACGGGGATAGTGGCGAGAGGTTACGGTAAAAGACGCGTATACCACCGTCTCATCATGATCTCTCTTTCTCTCTCTCTCTCTCGGTCGCGGTGGCGAGGATTCCAAGAGAGTCGCGACGGATGCCATCGTGAAAGAAGACGGCTAAGAGAGAGAGAAGAGAGAGAGAGAGCGCTAAGAACACGCCCACTCCATGCCGCTCTTTTACTCCCTCTCGCAATTCCAATCATTTTTCATCTCTCCGTTCCTCTCACGAATATACCACGTTCTACCCTTCTCCTTCCTCTCACGCCCCGCTCTTTTCCTCCTCACTTTCTCCCCTCATCTCCCTCCCCTCGTGACTAGCCCTCTGCTCAATCTCCCTTGCTGTCCACCGCCACGCCTCTTTCCTCATCTTCGTATCCTTAAATAATATATGTAGTCATTACACATGCTTTAAATTAATGCAATATCGTTGGTTGAAAATATTATCGGCAAGTTTATAAAATAGAGAAGCGAGAGAGAGAAAGAGAAAGACTTTTCATCGCACAAAACTGTGCTTTATCTTGTCTATCAATTCAGACATACCTCCAGATCAAAGCATGTTATGTCTGTTGACTGATGAAATTGCATTGGATTTAAACGTACCCATATGACTCTGGCAGACAGACGTCAAATGCATGTTGCTGACCACGAATATACCAGATGCAAGACGAAGGTTCTTTGGGATCCTTCCGGTGTGACCGGAAATTGTATAATTTCCTCATATTTTGCGTTTATAATAGTTTGCTTTACCGTGGATACCGATAACGCTGTGACAGTGCGTATATATGCGTATTTATAATATAGCTGTAAAATTTCTAAAGTGATTTATAACTTTACAAAATAATATAGAGATGAAAAATTTTATATTCTCATGAAAATTTTATTTTAATTGTTGCAGATAATTATCATGACGATGCATGCGACGAGAAGATGTTTGGAAAGGACCCCTGGACTACCTTTTCGAAGAACTCTTCAAACACCTCTCTTTCAAATATAATCTGATTTTGAAAAAAATAGCGATCGACTAGCGGTGAATAAACCAGATGATGCAATATTATGAAGAATTTGTATCTCTTCGCTAAAAAATATAATTTTCATGTAAAAACGAAACGCGAATAAGTCCCTCGCACATGCTTCCTTCTTTTCCGTATATTTCTTCAAATTTTATCAATGTTTAGTATTTCACAGATTATTCAAATTATTATTCGTCGATTTTACGCGATTAACATGTGCGCTGCTTCTTTACATTTTCTTCCATATGATTAATAAAATTATTCATTTCATTTGTCGCTTTTAAGCCTTTTGTACTATTTAAATACCGTACTAGAAAAAAATATGTTTCCCGTTGATTGTGTTCCCTTGTCTTCATATCAACTTTTTTTCGTCATTTGGAATGTTTTACATATCGTTACGAAGATGAGGATATGAATCATTAGCTTATTAGTTTTATATTATCGACATCTATCCCGAAAGAATTGCGTATCAAAATTATGTGAGAAGCCCACGATATATCCAAGTCATTTAAATTTATAAAGAAAATTTCTTGTATCTATCATGTAATTATATTGCTTTTATATGAAAATATTACGCAAAGTTGTGCCGAATATATTTAAAAAAATGTAAAACTTGTCGAAAGGAAAAACATAATATTCTGATTAAATTGATAGCTCAAACATCACTGTTTGATCGATATTGTCAAAATATTATCGTATTCACCGATATAATTCTTTAGTATTAAATATAAGCATGCGTATTATTTTGCGATAAAAATCTGTTCTCCGAATTAATACAGCATTGGCGAGCATTGATGAATATTCGTAAAGTGATAAGAAGATTCGGGAAACTGTCGAAAATTTATTCGTCGAGGACTGTCACGCCATTCGTTTCGATGCTATTATCGTTGCGAACTGGAACAAGGTGGAAGATCCGCCATAATTTACATTTTGCATATAGTTTCAAATGAATACGTGTAAAGCACACATACAAATGAATTTTTATCAAGATTATATACTTATATATTTTAGCAATATATAAATGTATTTTTTATATAAGAGCAGAAAAAGCAAAATTGATATTTTCGTGTTTTAGTAGATTTATATTGAAATTGTTGCTTTGGGTTTTGGAATGAAAAAAAAACACACTTATTTCATTGCTTTTTCGATAAATTGCAACATGCATGCTGCTGGTAAATGTGAATAATTTACATTCTACGTTATCTTAATTATATCGCATTAATACAATTACATATGCATTAATTATTTCTATTGGTAAACAAAAATGTTGCAAAGTTTATATTGATATTAAATATAATGTTAAGCTAAACGCGCTCTTAAAAAATCAAATATACATTATTTAGTAAAGAGTAAGTAAGGTAAATATATACCTATATTAGAGCCACATAAAAAATTTATGATTAGTATACGCCACTCCATAAAGTAAATATTACACTTAATATAGCACTTGATAAAATTTAAATTAATTACGATATTTCTCTGGTGCAAAAAATCCTAATTAATTTCAATTTGTTAATTCAATTGTATCTACCAGGTACTTTGTAATAAACAGGACTCGGGCAATCATCATTGCTTATGCCTGAAGAATAAGACATCATTGTCTATATATTTAAAGCACCACTTTCTGCACATTTATTTCCAATCAATGTGCTGGTATATTAAAAGTAAACAATGCCTAGAGCACTCTATTGGGTTTTATCGCTCAGCAGTAATTTTAACAGTCTCGGGCATAAGCAATAGTAACATTCAAGTCCAGCTATAATAAGATTACATTATCCACTTTATAATGATATATGATGTGGCTTTACAAGAGAAATGCTTCATCACTGAATTCTATTTGGCGTACTTTGTGATCGACATAATTACTGCATGATTCTCTAATAATCAATGAGGAATGTCAGTGGCACATATTACGTATGCATATGTATATATACTTTGTGCGCATTTTAACGTATCGGTGATATACAACTATCTTTCGAATCTTTAAAAATACAATCAAGAATTTATCGGTTTCAAGAGAGTTGATGAAAAAATGTGTTGATGAAAAAAATAAACATTTCCTAACATTCTTTTTCCGAACCGTCTTATCTATGGAATATCACAGCGTACTTTTATTCGATTTCGTTATTATAAAGTTGCTTATGATATACTAAGCCAATGAAAAATGTATTCGTACACGTACTCACACACACACACACACACACGTATACACATATATATATACACACATAGAAAGTATAAAACTGACCTCAAATATAATATCGATATTTTACATCTTTTTTCGAAGAAAGAATACAGTATACTCCCAAACGAGTATAACGTATCAAAGCTTTTCCTAATGCTCTTTTCTCTATCTCGAATACCATGATATATATTCGTTAATATCCAACTACGTCCATCATTGTTCAAGTGCGAAAAAAGCTTTGTTTTTAAATCATTTTTTTTATTACAATGTTCCAACAATTTCAAATAATTTATCCAATTAAAGTAGCAAAGTCAGATTCGATCTACAAGCCTGCTTTCTTTGATAATATTGAAAATACAAAATAAAATGAAAAAAAATATAGCAAACCAATTGATGCAATAAAATTTTATATCGCCCTTATATATATATATATATAACAGAACTTTCACAGAATTTTAATTAATTTTAGATCAAATCCACATTTTAGTTACTCTTTGATTTTCTACTGTTTATTATTTCTTTGGCTCTACTTTTCTATTGTTTTACATTTGCATGGTCACATGATTCTGCATAGAGTGAGAAGTTAACTGGAAAAGTAGTAAACAATAAAGAAGATCTAGATTACTTAATGGACAAACAATCGCTTGATAAGCGAAAGATTCGGGTTCGATCTAATTATTCCCGATCTAATCGTCCCGCAAATAAAAGATATCGAAAGGAATATATTGAAAGGAAACATTAAAATCCACAATTATAATGAGATAAACAAGAGAGGAAAAACTGAAGACTTTCTCTGTAATAAGATTATGGTATTCTATATATCTTAATAAGGACGCAAATCCAAAAACAAGAACAATAGAGAATCAAAGAGTAATTAATACAAGAAAAACTCGATTGCAATTCCAATTGTATGTATTATTCGCTGTGAAAACAAATTTTGCTTTCTAATTATAAAAATTTATATGATACAGTCGTCTACCCATACAGCAATAAAAATCTGCGTGATAAAGATATTAAAATCATCTTGTTAAAAACATATCGCAATATTTTCTTACGAATATATTACTAGTTTATTATAATAAATATATCTCTGAAGTATATTCTGATCCACGAGATGTTCAGAAGGTATCTTAATATATTTTAAGAGGATATCTAAAAATAAGAAATGTGTAAAAATAATAAAGAAAAAATCCGTGCAACATCCCGAGAATATTTTAGACGTATAGTAAAAAATATATATATACATCATTATATAATATACATAATACGGCAGTGATTACATTAGCATATTTTAAAAATATACTCTAGATATCTTATGCTTTCTTTCTCTCTCTCTCTTTCTAAAAAATATTACGATTTTCCAAGATATGTCAATGCAAAACCACGCAGATTTTTTTCTTTTACTGTGTGGGTAGCCAGCGAATCACAGGTCGCTGCCGAATTTTTATTTTAAAAATGCGAGTGAACAGGTAAATATATCAAATCTTCATAAAATATTCTAAAAATGTAATCTACAAATTAATGATTAAATGGAAGTAAAAAATAATATTTTATATATTCTTACAATGTCGTCTAAAAGTTGTTGCAATAATCGATAAGAAATCTAAATATATCATGCTTTTTTCATTTACGTTTTTCAAAGAGAGAGACATTCATATATACAAAATATAATATCGTGATATAATATAGTAAATAGATAATTGTGATTTCATATTTAACTTTTGTTGTTTACCTTGCAATTATTTGTAATACCTTGTTTATATCGTGTCTTGTAGTATCTTTTAATTCAAAAACAATTTTTTTTAATATTTAACATTAATGAACCTATTACCACTGCACCAGACACTAAAAAATATAAAATATAGCACGGTTCATATATTTTTATTAAGATAATGATAAAGTCCTAAATAATGACCATTGACATAGGATCAGAGGAAAGATTAATAACACAGCTCAATAAAAAAAAATATGAAGAAAAGAAAACATAAGATTGAAAAAATATATGCTTGTCTTTTTTTACTATTATTCAACATTCCTCATTGATATGAACAATGGGTAAAAAAAAAATATTTGCACACTCCATATTTCTTGGATAATGTAATACAAAATAGAGAAATGCTACTTTATTAGATATATTTAGATAAAAAGCTATATATATATATAAAGCAATAAAAAATTAAGGTAGATTCATCAAAAATAGTTTACAAGATATAATTTATCTTGGCACATTAAGACAAGAAATATGAAATAGCTTGTAAAATATTCTACAAATGTCTATAAATGTTAATAAAACAATACAAACAGAATATTTTTAACAATATTTAATAATATATATTTTCTGCCTCAGTATAAAAGAGCATTTTTTAGCAATATTTCTCATTTTGTTTCTAATGTTAGTCCGAGAAAACAAAGTGTGCAAATATTCCTTTCATCCACTGTATAACAAAATTATGATACAAAACATGGTGGTTGTGTCATTGAATTAAAACTATAATAATGTATAGACACGCTAACTACATGCTAGACTCCTTGGTAGTAATAATCTCGTTGGTATTATCAACTCGAATCAAAGTAGATGAATTTAATACAAGAGTCCTACTGAGAGTAGCAACTCGTTCTACTACGCACGAAGCGGAAAGGCGTGCTTCGGCATCGTGATCCCAACATTCTTCCATTGTATCACAAATTGATAAAAGTCCCTGAAATAATACACATTTCAGTTATAGCTATGTATGTATTTCTTTTTTCAACTCCATATCTTTTTTCTTTTTTAGATAAAATTATCCTCTATCAAAGAAAAAGCTTTTCGTCACTTGCAACTTTTACAGATATAAATGTTTAAAAAAAAACGCGAGCTTTTATTAAATATCTGAAAAGTCTATATTCGAAAATATTTTGCAAACTTTTCTTCATACAATTTAATCTTTCCCATATACTACTATATAATCCCTTCCTATTATAAAATTCTTGTATCTTTCTCTGCTTCAAAAAGGGATTTTGTTGCATAGAATGGATTCTAATATGCATAATATATATATGTATTAATGTAGAATTTCTATTGCTATTTGTTAATGTTAAGTAATTAAAAAATAGATATACTATAAATAGATACATATTTTTTTTAAATAGACACATTTGTCTTTTCTTTATACATTTTTACTTACTGGATGTTTACGCCAAGTTTCTAAAATGAGCGGTCTTTCTTTTTTATGAACAACGCTTTCTTGCATATCTTCTAGAGTAGGATGAAGGCCGACTTCGTCCTCAAATGGTAGTCGATATTCTCCTATTGGTCCCTAATATATTGGAATAAAAACAATTAGCGACTTTCGAAATGCAATTAACTTATTTTGCAATTATAATAATTTCGTGAAATAAACACACATAGATTTATATATAAATGATATATACAACATAATTCATGTACTAAAGATTTTCAGTACATATTTATTTCCTGTGTGTGATTACAATAACACACGAGACATGTAAAAATATTATAATTTTATTATTACTTTAATATTGCGTTTTTATTAAATAATTACAATAAATTTCGAAACAGTATATCGTGTTTTGTAATTAATTATCTCTATGAAATCTCTTATAATAGATAGTTTGGATATAATAAATTCGCAGAACTTCAATTTTTTTAATCAATAATAAAGTATGGATTAAATAAATACCAATAACCGAATGTTGGAAAAATCCTTGTAACACACATTGCATAATATACATATAATACCCACAGATACATACATCTTGTACGGTACATCTTGAAGCTAATTCCCATAGCACTAGCCCACAAGCATACATATCGATCCGTAAAAATGAATCTCTAGTAAAATTTATTGCCCCTTCTAAAACCTCTGGTGCCATGTATCTTCGTGTCCCAACCTGTGAAAAACAAAAAATTGTTATTTTCATATTATAAAAGAAACGCCGATATATGTGCATTACCTGTCCATGCGTATCGCCACAAGGTTTCCCTGGGTGAAAAATAAGCGCCAAGCCGAAATCCGCTATACAGGCACTCATGTCAGCCTTTAGCAAAACATTTTTTGACTTAAAATCCCTATGAGCTACAGCTGGTTTATAACCATCCGCTTTATTAGCCGGGATTTCTTCGTGTAAATGCATTAAACCTCTAATAATAATAAAAAGTATTTTTATTAGGACTTGAATAAAAAATTGTAGTTTAAATACAAAAATATCGTTACATACATAACTTTGTTTCCAACAAATTATCTTATTGCTATTATAAATTATAACTATTACCTTGCCATAGATTCTGCAATTCTACACATCTCAGGCCATGTTACAACATTTGCTTTCAGGTAATCGCACAATGAACCTTTCTCATGATATGCTGTGATTAACCAAAACTCAGCTTGTAAATTGTCTCCACGCTTTTCGACACCTATAAAATGTAGTATGTCCTCGTGATCCATATGTGCAAGCTTAAAAATCTCTTGTTCAGTCTGCCAGGACTGCTTGTCTTGAATGGGAAAAACTTTAACTGCCACAATCTCATTTTTCAATTGGGCTTTCCAAACTGCTCCAAAACGACCTCGAGCTTTAATCTCAAGAAGTTGTATCGGACGTAAACCTAAATTAGGTGACGGTTGTGGTAATGGAAGTGGTTCTAATGTTGGTACCTAAAAAAGATTTATATTAATCTCATTGAAAATGAAAATATGCAATTTACTACTAGTAGTTTTATAACAATCTCAAGATAGACAACCTCGTTAAAATACGTCAATCTTCGACGACGACAGAACCACCACAAAGAAAGTGAACCAAACGTAAGAAGCATAGGGATTAATATCAATAATATAAGTGTAATTGCTTGCTTCTCTGTATTGGATATAGAATCAGATTCTAAAAAATTAATTATTATTAAGTAGTATTATAAAAGTATTGCAAGACAAATTTATTAATTACCTTCAAGCAAAGGTAATTAAACATTGGATAACAAATGATTAAATAAAATACCATTAATAACAGATGGTTGTGTAGGTTTAGAAGATGTAGTCGGATGTGGATTCCAAGAAAAGTTTTGGTTACACATATCACCATCGCAACAACAAAAATATAAATCTTTTTTTCTTTCTGGATTATCCTCTATGCATTGCGACTTATCATAACAATCATTGCTATCCAAAAAGCAACCCTGAAAATTTGGTACATGTATGAAACACACATATATATATATATATATATATACATAAAGTTTACAATTGAAAAAATGCATTACATTTGTGTATTAACTGTTGAAAATTATAATGCTATTTAAGCTTTTATAATGTATTTTTGTTATGCATGTATGCAAATTTTATATATATATATAAATTGTATATATATATTACCTAATAATCCCAAGAAGAAGAGAGGCAGTATCGTCGCATATACGAACATCGTGAGCGAATCGTAAAAGCATACCAGTAATTTTGAGTCTATTAGCTATTAAGCAAATTGTAGTAATTTATCCACCGACACATCTCTCTTCCTTTCTCTCTCTTTCTCTCCCCGTCTCCCCTTCAGCTTTCTCTCTTCCACTTTTATACAGAAATACACGCAGCACAGATCCCGGTCATTTTCATAGTTAAATCATGACTTATCATAACAATCATTGCTATCCAAAAAGCAACCCTGAAAATTTGGTACATGTATAAATTGCATAAATAATATAATTCAACAATAAGGAAACCAAAATACATATAACTATAAATACATATAACTATAAATACATATAACTATCAATTTCATAAAAACAAAAAAAAAGGCAATATGACACTTTCTCTTTTTTTTTTCTAAAAAGAAGACAATACTACAACTCCTTAGCTAATTTCGAATATATATATGTTCTATAAATGTAGTATCTCTCGTTATGGATGGTTTCATCTTTCAAAGATTTACCTCATCAAAATGATTTAACATTAATATAATTACATGGACATTATTTTGTTTTGCCAAGCAAAATGAAACAACATATTACTGAATAATATAATTTGAAGAGCACCATTCATAAAAAATTCACAAAATCTCAGTTTCAATTCAAGTATAGTATTTCTCGACTAAAACTGCATTTTAAATTATTTAAGTTGAAATTAACGTTTGATATTGCAAAATATAATTTGAAAAGAAATACAAAATTGTTGTCAGTGCATGTAATATATAGATATTTTATTCTTTTTGTGGCACAATCTTTTAAACCTGAAGATCTGCCATATCCTAGACACTCTCTTATATAGAGTATATAAACTATTAATATGAACTATACATAATAAGTTATTAATTAAAACTAACCTTCAACTTAATTATTGTTTTTTTAGTAACATTGTCGACTGACCACAGTACGTAACAATGATTACGCTTGTCTGGATCGTGCACAACACATTCTTCTCTCTCTGAGCAGTTTTGATGGGATTCTGCACACAATGTTTCATTGTAAAATTCACAATAGGTTGAACCTTTAATATCTTTCCCAAATATAGTTCCTAGAATATTTCATTAAAATTTTATAATTTTTATATTTCACACAAAATATGGTAAATTACATTATTGTTAAATGTTTTCTCCTGATGTGTTTATATATAAAACATCAAATAAAATTATAACCAATTCTTTTGTAGATTTGTTTCAACAAGACAATCGGATTTAACTTTTTAAATTTTTAACAATTGTTAATAATTTTTGTAACCATATAACCATTTTTTATACTAATGTATTGTGATAAAATGTTTTGACATTAAGTATTGATTTAACAATTAATTCACAATTTTTAGCAATTGTTAATTTAACAGTTTTCAACAACATGTAAATGTGTATGTGTATATCAATAATTCTTAATTTCTGTATTAAATATCTTTATAATTAAAATTTTCGGACACATATATACACATACATAATCAAGAATTATATTAAATTTATTTAATCAATAAAATTATTCATTGAAAAAATGTTGAAAAATAAGATTCTTATATATGTATTTATTATATTATATTAAAGTTTTAGCTTTAATTTGTAATAAGAAAAATAATTGTCTCTTAACAATAGCATTTCTCATTTGCAATTTGATATAATTGAGAAAGATACATTATAGTGATATCTTATAGATAGATATATCATTAATATATGTAATGCAAAACAAGCGTATTTCTCTTAAGCAAGAATTTTTGATATATTTATAAAAGTTTTTTTTATGAAAGATATCACCACAGAATTTATAAATTATAGATTGTTAAAAATGGAAAAATTCAACAAGTGGATCTATATTCAAAGTAATTTACAGTTTTAATGAATTATTAAAATTATTTGAAAGAAAGATATATAACAAATATAGTACAATCTCGTTTTTTAATTAGTTTCTCATATATAGTCTCTTTATTCAAAATATAATTTTACAATTTATTAAAACATTTAAATTAGAATTTAAAAAAATTGAAAAAGCAAATAATTATCCACTAAATTTTCATAAATAGCAAAGAGTAAATTAATTGCAAATTGATCAAAAAATCCATAGTTTTTTTTTTTTCGGCGCGTTATCCAACAGCGCTAGCGACAAAATTAACTCACACGCGACTTCCTAGTTAAATTAGAGAGGAGTATTTGTATAAATTTTCAGTATCGTTAAAAGAAATAGTTTATGGCATGAAACGTGCACGAAACGATGCGTAGACACTTACAAATTGTGAGCACTTATCATCGACACGAGAATATACTATCACGGCGATGCATAATATTGTAATAACGAAGCCTGATGAATAGAAGACATTTGATGTCTAAAGTCACGGTCTGCCTCTACATAATATGGCTGTCTAGCGATTTTTCCTTGGTCATCGACTAAATAATATTCGGGTCCGCCAAACTTCCATATGATTTCAGATGATCAGCGTTTGCGACGCCCTCTGAAGCTTGGCATCCGACGAGATGTATCAATATGGTGTGTCGTAACAATTCGATTTGAATTATTCATTTTTCTCGACCACTACCATTAGTCATCGATGAGATAATATTAAAGATGGCTAGTGTTTCGTATAGAAGATTGAGCGCGAGTAGCTTGAAAAAAATAAAACTTGAAATCAAAAGAATATATTTTTTACTTGGCAAGATTTAAATTGAATGTGTGTGTAATCGAGGTTCAAATATATATACAGACTTTTATTTATTTATATACAAGAAAAGAGACGAAAAAGTAATATATACATATATATACTAGTAATTTAACGTTTTCTAAATTTAAATAAATCTCTCCTGAACTTGTCATATTTAATTAATATTAGTTAAACCGCTAAATTACATATTAATATTTTACATAGGACATCCTATTCTCATCAAAAACGATAAATGATATCGTACACTGCACATATTTATAAATATGTGTATAACATTAATTTGATTTTTAATCGTAAGGATAATCTGGTAATATTATTTTGAAAGAAAATGGGCCATTGGATCTTCGTCACGTTTACGTTTCATTTGATATGCTTCTATCTCCTCGGCAGTCAGTTCTTTTGTCTCATACATGCTGTTATACGGACGTTTCCTCTCGTTCATTTTCAACATCTTGTCCGCCTTCCTCGTATTGTCCTCTTCCTTTCTCAATGCTTCTTTCAGTTTGTCCTCGTCCTGTTTCTTATTCTTGCGGTTTTCTTTACGCTTCTGTTTCTTCAATTTCCGTTTAGCCGCCTTACTTTGTTTTTCCGTTTTATTTTTTTCCGTATCCTCATCTTCGGACGAAGATTCGCTGCTCGAGGAATGATTGTCGTCTATTACTGTGTCGTCCAGTTTATAATCGGTCTCTTCTATTTCATTTCTCACAGATGGTATTTTATCCAGTGTCAAGCTATCGTTCGTTGCCTCTACTGCTCTCTTTCCAGACTCCCCGGTGCAATAGGAATTTTTAATAAAGGAATAACAACATTTGTAGCCCCATTTTCCATCCTGCCAATAGGAACCCCAGACTGATGTATGATTGTTTGGATAAATGTCTTCTTCGTACTTGGATCGTATCACCTGTCTGTCCTGCCCTTTAATTATCTTACCGTATCTCGAATATTCGACATAATGCTCGGTCTGTGCCAATAATAAAGGCTTTGGTAATGTTTTGAGATGCTCCTCACCTCCATAACGCTCGATTATACTATCGCGCGCCTTGTCCTTCAACTCGTCGCGTTTCTTGTCGTATTCCTGCTTTAATAATTCCAATTTCGTAGGCTCGGCTAATAAATGTACATCGACTCCCTTCTCGTGCGCGTCCCAAGCAAACAATTGTGCATTCGCATGTTGCTGTGTATCTCCGGAAAAGCGTACAAAGTTCTCGCCTTTGTAATCCACCTCGCGCTCTGTACCGGTATAGGGATTATCTCGCATGGATCTAGTCTTTGGATCATAGTACGCAGAGTTTGGATCTAGATTGCGCAGATATTTAGCAGTGTCCTCTCGAATTCGCAGATTTCTTACAGTAATACGCTGTTTAGAGTCTACCTTTGTACCAGGCATATCCACCTCATCAACATATTTATCTTCATCCTTATCTGAGTCTTGCTCATCGTTCTCCTCCTCTGCATCGAGTTTGTCAGCACGCATCTGCCTCTTGGCCTCCTCTATCTTCTGGTACTCCTCCACTATCGCTTTATGTTCGGAGGGATCGTAACCAGCCCATCTGTCTCTTTTACCGTCGTAATCCATAGAGAGCTCAGGCTGAGTAAATTCATCCGCTGCTATCTTTGAATTTGTGTATTTCGCTCCAACCTTGCGCGGTCTCTCCATACAATCCTTTCTCTTGTGAGTCATCGCACCGCAATTCTCGCAAGCACCCTTACGATACTTAATTGCCACCCGTGCACCATCCACCCCACGATTGTACCAATCATCTATGGAATTGTACTGCTTCTGTTTCTCAGGCTGCGGTCTCTGATGCTTCAGAGTGGGACCCTGAGAGCCAAAGTACCATGGCGTGGCGCTGATATATTGCGGAATATGCGGATTAATGTCTTTACCCTCCTCGTCGACGGCGGCGGGTGCAGTGCCAGCCTTCCTCGCCTCTTCCAGCTCTTTCGCCTTCCGCCAATCCTCCCTGCTCTTCTTTCGAGGTTCATCCTCAAACGAGCTTTTATTCTTCAAAATGCTCGACACAGTTACGTTCGCCGATGAATTGGCCATTACTGAAAAATCTTGCGGCAACTAACTGGATCTTTATTAGGCTCATTTATTTACGTTCTTGTCTATAGAGGTTATGTTCCGATTCTTGTAAGCGAAGAAATCTTACTTTGTCCCGATTGGTCAATCTGTGGCTGCGGTCGGGAGGACGCTAGAAATGCTTCGAAGCAATGGGCATCGGCCCCCACTCCTTAAATAAAGGCAAACGCTCGGTCTAGATATACTATGTCTATGGGTCAATCAAACGCTTCGAAGCATTTCTAGCGTCTTCCGGACCGCAGCCTGTAACTTGTAGATAAAGGTAGCTTTCCAGTAAGGAAGAGATAGACATAATATCACGCAATTGGCTATTAAATAGAGAATTTTTAAAGACTCTAAAATTTTTCTATTTGACAGCTAATCATATGATTTTATGTTTATGTTTTTTTCTTGCTGAAAACCCCCAACACACTCGATGTTGAACATATTGGAGGCTTTCCAGCAAGAAACATACATAAACCAACATCATATGATTAGCTACCAAATATAAAAATTTTAGAATGTTAAAAATTCTCTATTTAATAGCCAATTGCATAATATTGGGCGCGTTCAGGGAGTCGATTGTGTATCTTTGAAACGAAGTGAAAATTACAAAAGTGAACAGATTTACTAGATTTCGACGAATGAAATCGTAGACGCTATAAAATAATCGTATGAATTAAATAATTCGTATAATTATCTTCGATGCAGTCAAACAGCCAGCAATGTCCGGGTCCACCGGACCCACTTGACGGACACAAAAATTTATCTAGAACTGACAGTCCGCCAACAGAAAATAGAGGTGAAGGAAAACCAAGCATTCTTATCATTTCAGTTGAAACTTTGCTAATTTTAACCGTCGGTTAAAATCTTTAATCTTCAATCTTCAATTTTCAATGCGTAGTCTGATACGGGCTTAACCGAGCTTGGTGAAATTGGCCCTTAGCCTTATGACTTAGGGCCAATATATTGGCCGTAAGGGCCAATTTCACCAAGTCCGGTTAAATTAAAAGACGGTTAAAATTAGCAGGGTTCCAACTGAAATTATATGAATGCTTGGTTTTCCTTCACCTCTATTTTCTGTTGGCCACCCTGCTAATTTTAACCGTCGGTTAATCTAACCGGACTTGGGCCGGTATTCATAGTCAGTTCTTATATTTAAGACCGTCTTAGGGCCAATTTCATAAGTGCCGATCTACAATAGGTGGTTTAAGCCCTAAGCCTTAAGAAATTGACTAATCACAGTCGAGTATTCTCCTCATACTTGATTGTGATTGGTCATTTTCTTAAGTGCCGATCTACAATAGGTGGTTTAAGCCTTAAGCCTTAGTGCCGGTCTACAATAGGTGATTTAAGCCCTAAGCCTTAAGAAATTGACTAATCACAGCTAGGATCGATGTAATTTTTCTCTTAAAACAAAGGCTAAATCTTAAATCACCTATTGTAGACCGGCACTAAGCGAGTTGGCCAACTCCCATCTTTTAAAGCTTAGAGCTTGAGGCTAGGATCGATGTAATTTTTCTCTTAAAACAAAGGCTAAATCTTAAATCACCTATTGTAGACCGGCACTAAGCGAGTTGGCCAACTCCCATCTTTTAAAGCTTAGAGCTTGAGGCTAGGATCGATGTAATTTTTCTCTTAAAACAAAGGCTAAATCTTAAATCACCTATTGTAGACCGGCACTAAGCGAGTTGGCCAACTCCCATCTTTTAAAGCTTAGAGCTTGAGGCTAGGATCGATGTAATTTTTCTCTTTTCTTAAAGCTTAGGGCTTAAATCACCTATTGTAGACCGGCACTAAGGCTTAGAGCTTAAATCACCTATTGTAGACCGGCACTAAAGCTTAGGGCTTAAATCACCTATTGTAGACCGGCACTAAGCGAGTTGGCCAACTCCCATCTTTTAAAGCTTAGAGCTTGAGGCTAGGATCGATGTAATTTTTCTCTTAAAACAAAGGCTAAATCTTAAATCACCTATTGTAGACCGGCACTAATAGTACCTCGTCGGTGCCTGTGTGTACACGAGCGTCGTTCTATTTTTGTTCAACTTTTAGTAAATAACAAAGATAGAACGACGCTCGTGTGCATACGGCTGATATTTCCGAACGCAGCCCTCGCCGGTGGTTCAGTGTAACGAGTGTTAATGTTTTCGCTCCTAATAAAGTATTTACAAAGTTTATACAGTGCGATGAAAGAAGAATTGGATATTGCAATGCCGCTAATGTCACCTCTTGTGAAGAAAAATAAACGAGGCCAGGTGAATAATGATGAATAAAAACGATTAATCTGTTTGTAGTATATTGAAGGCTGTAGTTTTAAAGTTTAAAGTATCCCTTTTAGTATGAGTTCACTGCGAGAAAATATGTTGAAATTTAATAAATTGTTTGAATAGTCACAAATGAGGTTATATTGATCTGACATTAACCTGACCTTAACCGACATATGTTTTTATAAAGTAAATATTTACTCGTGACTATTCAAACAAATTTTTATTAAATTTCAACATATTTTTCTCGCATTGTTAAAATTTCAATTTTATAACATATATTTTTCATTTGTGCTTTCAGCTGATCGGCAGGAGTCAGAAACTCATAATTATTAATTTACACAAAAAATTGAAGGAAGACAATCCTAAAATTTTAAATAAAGATGCTGTTACTCATTTGGCAGAACAGACGGGTATTGGTATTACCAGCATAAAAAAAACATTGTTGGAGTATAAGAACACAGGTGCGGTTACATCTCCAAATAAAAAGAAACATCGCCTATCTTTTAAAGAGAAAGTCGATGAATTTGACAAGAACGCTATTCGGAAAAAAGTGCACGAATTTTATATCAATAAAGAATTACCAACATTCAACAAAATTCTGCAAGCTGTAAATGCTGACGAAGATCTTCCAAATTTTAAACGATCGACTTTTCACTTACTGTTAAAGGAACTAAATTTTACGTATACCACCCAATCTCGCAATAGCATCCTGATAGAGAAAGAAGATTTAATTATTTGGAGGAGAAACTACCTGAGGACTATAAAGAGATACCGAGAAGAGGGTCGACAAATTTATTACCTGGACGAGACTTGGGTTAACGCCGATGACGTCATGAATACAGTTTGGATAGATGAAACAATTAAATCCGAGAAGAATGCATTTTTCCTGACTACGGGGCCAGCTAATCCAAGCGAAAAAGGCAAACGACTAATTGTTGTGCATATTGGCAGTGCTGCTGGTTTCATTCCTGGCGGGCTTCTATGTCTCGAAGCAAAGAAACATACGGGGGATTACCACGACGAAATGAACAGCGAGACATTTCACGAATGGTTTAAAAATATTTTACCAATGCTAGACGACAATGCTGTTATTGTCATGGATAATGCTCCGTATCATTCCGTAAAACTGGAAAAACTGCCGAACATTTCTTGGAAAAAGGCCGAAATAATAAAATGGTTAGAAGATAAAGGAAAAGAAGTATCAGAGACTATGGTAAAGGCCGAACTCATGCAAATTGTTGCATTACAAAAAAATAGGTTTGATAAATATGTCATAGATGAAATGGCAAAACAGGACAATAAAACGATTCTCAGATTACCTCCGAATCATTGCGAACTTAATCCGATTGAAATGGTATGGTCAATGGTTAAGACATACGTTAGGAATAATAACAACACTTTTAAAATTCAAGATGTTAAACTATTACTTGAACAAGGTGTTACTCAAGTGACAGCTGAACATTGGAGTAATTTTATTAAGCACGTTAGAGATGAAGAGAAAAAGATGTGGGAAATTGACCATATAGCTGATAGCATGATTGACGGGATACCTCCATTAACAATTAATGTCACAGGCGAAACAGATTCTGAAATGTCTGATAGCGATTATTAATCCTGTATATAATGTCGATCTGTATATAATATTATTATATTTGCGTTTCATGACTTCTATGTAACATATTATTATAATTTTATATCATCTTCGTATATTATTATTATTTATTTTATATTCATATTATTACTTATTTCATACACATATTATTATTATTTCGTTACATATTTATTACTTATTTCGTATTTCATATTCTACTGACTCACCTCAGAAAAAATAGACCTTATTTCGCCTGTACAGGTCCGTCAAAATAAATATATATTTGATATCAACCTCGCTCCACTGCGTATTCAGTTTTCTTTTATATGCACCCCCAAAATCTAAAATCCTTCACAATATGAACGATCCCTAATAAAAATATATTACTATTATGAATTTAATTATCTCGTAAATTAGAAACATTTAGCTGTGTAATTTAAATATATTACGACGGTTTCGATTTTATATCGCATTGAAAAGTCGAAATTATTTCACCCGTTCATTTTTTTAAGTTGAGGTAATAGTCCCGGGAATACGGCCCGAATAAAAAAGTGCTGTATTTACGTATATGGTACCTGGATTCTTTTAATGTATACAAAATATGTATAAAATATTTATATAATATTTCAAAAAATAAATAAGATTCATGTGAATCTGGCCATGTAATTCCGCCGGCTCTAAAATGGATCCAGTTAGCGCCACTGTATTAGCTAGGAAAACTGTCTCAAGAAAAACGGTGGCATGGCCCCTCTCAGGTTTCTCTCTGTTACTAGCTTTGCTAGTGACAGAGAATGGCTGATCGCCATTTATTTATTAAATATTATAATTGTGTATGTGTTGTGTGTATCTATACATATACAGTACTAAAAAGATTAGTCTAATTGTCATCATCGATAGTTAATATTTAACAAAGTGAAGATAATATAACATAATTATTTGATGTATTCGAAGACGAGCTTGCAGTGCTTGATATGAAATAAAATACATCGCAAATTATATTGAATTATAATCAAACAAAACGCTCGATAAAAGACACTGCAAATATTGTATCAATCTTACAATAATTAGTATTGTATATATTTTTGCACTTTTATCATTTTTCTTGACGAGAAGAATGTGGATTTATTTTCTGCTCGCCATGTTTAGCGTATTCGACTTTGCAATGGCTTCCAATAATTTCGATTTTGGAGACACCCTAGCGTTAATCCTGGGATTAACGATCGGGATTATTGGATTTTTCGCTTGCATGGGAGCTTATGCGAGGAGACGAAGCCACTTTGAATCCTTGTAATTTGAATTGCGATCTTTTTAAAGCGTTAATGGTATGTACACAACTTAATATATGTAAAAATATATTTGTGGCTTTTGTATGATAAATATTATGTTAAATCAATTTATGCAAATATATGCGAATTATAAAGTTATAGTACAAAAGAAAGAAAATTTATCTTTATATTACATTTTAAAAACTATAGCATCTATATTACATATGTATGTGATATATTAAAATTAGATTCTAAAATTCTACTCTTTATTTTTTTCTTTCCAAAGAAATGCATTACTTGAACTGCATATTTATCTTATCATGCTTTATACTAATTTATTACATTTTTCATAACAAGATAATTCTTTGTTTTTATTCATGTAAAATGTAGTACTTTTAAGATAAGGATTTGAAAAAAACGTATTTGTTTTAATTTGTTGTAGACACACAAATAAGACTATCCTATTATATAATTATGGAATAAAGGAAATCTGATCTGTAAGAAATATATGATAAATAAAAAGAGCATTTTGAGATATTCTGTATCATAAAGGATAGTTTTCAGAGAGATTCTTAGAAAATGTTTGTTAAAATATTCTATAACAATTTTACAAAACTTGAGTATAATACATTGAGTATAATATATTGTGTATATTTTTGTTGTAATAAAGAATATAAATGATAAATTGTTTTTTTTATTTAGATGATATTGCATGTAAGAAGATGGTAATCTATACTGCATATCAATTTATTTATTTCACTTCAATAAATTTACAATTGTTGCCAGTGATTTTAACACACACATTTAATGTCTTTTAATATTAGCCATTAGTAAAATTCTTGAATGTTTCACAATATTGTATTAAACACAAAAAGAAATATGAATAAATGATCAAAACTTTTGTTTCGATAAAAATAGTAATACTTTTAAATAGATCTAATTTTAAAAAAATTAATGGATTTTTTCAATGTGCATTTAATTGCATAATTAATGTATAATTATTGTTTATTCCATGTTATATTTTTTGTAATATTTCTTTATGCTTATGGAATTATTATTCACATCATATATATTCTTAGTTTAAGATCTTATATTTTTTTCATTGCAATTAGAATTAGTGAAATGCCTGAAAAACTAAACTCTTAATTTAACAGATAATATAATGGAGCGTTATTATAAATATGTTATGCAAATACACATTTTGATATACATTTTGAGTTTCTATAAGAATGGAATATATACTACAACTAGTTTTTTTCTCTTTCACTTTTAAATATATATATTTTTTTTCTTTCAAATACTGGGCAAAGATATTCTCAATCTATTTTTTTCCTGAATAGATACAATTAATAATTTGATATAATAATATATAACGAAAAAAAGTATTAACTTTCTCATATAAAATTAAATGTATAGTTTTTAAATGAAATTTCACATTTACCTTGAAATTATTAACTATTATTTCTCATTTTACACCTAATCAGTCTTTAAGCCTTTCCACAAGAATTCTTTGTTTGATGTGCTTTCAAAGATTTCCAAAATATTTGATTGTTTCACATCTTAATATGTAAAAAACAATCGCCACATTTATTTTTTATGGAGACTTTGAGAAATAAAAAATTTATTAATGACACAAAGTTAATTTTAGGATTATTTACATGCAAAATAATTATATAACTATACAATGTTTTTAAAAATACTTGCATATTTTACATATTTTGAAAATTTGAAACCAAATTAAAATTCATAGAGATTATATACATACAAAAAATACATGTGCTACATCTATATGTCATATATATTTTTTTATTGATGAAATCAATGGCGTAACTTTATTTGATTGTGTATCCAATATTTCACTTTTTTTTTATATCTGCAATATTTACAAATAAGTGAAAATTTATTTCTGCTTTGTTATTTGTGATGTGTATGTAAATGTTACTAACAATTATTTGCCCTCAAATCAATGTAAAACATGTCAGCTGTATATACAAATTGGAGAATATAAAAAATTATTAGTTATTTCTTGTTTGTTTCACTCTTAAAAACAGAGTATCCAAAAATGAATATGCCACAACAGTTTAATTAAATTTTTTCAAGTTCAATTTCTGCAAGAATATTGCCACCATGATAATAAACGAATTTAATATAAAGTCTAGAGAATTTTGTTGCATTATTTAATACTTTCTTTGGCGAAATAATAAATTTTACATATAAAAAGCGCATAAATTTTTTACATGTCCATGTATATATATACATGGAGAAAATCGTAAAACATTTTTTGAAAATTTTTTAAAAGTTCTTTAAATATAAAGCTTTGTTTATTAACTACTTACTCTCCGTTTTTTATAGATGGCAACAAGGTTTGACATGATAAGTAGTTGTTATCAAATTACACGATTGAGATTTCTAATGCGACATTGACATTCAAAAAGAAGATATATATATATATATATATAATATATATATATATATATATATATATGTATGTATATATACATATACATATATATATATATATATAGCCCTTTATGCCATGACAAAGTGGGTTAGCAAAGAAATCTCGCAGTAACTATGGATCCAGTTGAAACTATATCTATTAAACTTATACACTATATGTAATGATAACAGTTAGACAACTATATATTTGTCCTCTGATCATTGTATAAGAAAATAATCAAGTCTCAAGTCACAGTGTAATACAATAAACTATTGCAATTTCTATAAAAGAACAGACATTAACATAACATTGTGATATAAAAGCACCAAAAGCCTTAATATACTTAAAACAAATTTAATCTCTGCGCATAATTATCAAATTTTTTGGGATAACCGCGAATTGTGTATTGGAATAATTTAATGAAGCATTTCTCTCTTTGAATGATGATTACAGCGATAATATTAATAACCAATTATATATCGCGTGTGTAGTTTTGAATATTATGTATATAAAAAAAATCTATAAATGATTTAAAAAACGGAGATGATTATGAATTGTGTTGTTAATTATATATATATTCAATTGTCATTTAAAATTTTAATTAAATATTCACTGCCAGAAATGGCATCTCATTAAGATTATCAAGAACTAAAAAGATAGGAAGTTTTAATACATTACTCTCGAATATGTTGACAGTAATGTATTGCTCAGATCGATTAGAAAGGGTAATGCTCTCAAATTGTGTCAATATTTGTCAACACCAAAATGGCATCAGAAATTCTCAAAATTACACTATATTTACGTGTGTCAAAATGAACAATGGTAGTTAAAACGATTACTACCGGTTTTAAAAGAAGACATAATCATCAATAGTAAACGAGATATATATATATGGGTTTGCTAACTAGTAACACATGACTTTTCTTCTTTAATTGAAATAGGCAAAATCGCTAGAAATACATTAAAGCATAACAGTGACTATATTACTCATATTTCTCTCTCTGTCTCTAATTACTCCTGATACATACATATTTGCACAATCATATGCATACATACAGAGACATTCGCACTATACATTCATCACACATACGTACATACATTCAATCTCTTTTTCTCTTCCTGTCCCTTTCATTCTCTATCTTTCCATCCACTTTTGCTCTTTGTCCTTCTCACTTCAGCTTACTCACTCAATCTCTATCCGCTTGTTTCTGGACACATTCAAGCATACAATAACAGTTATACATATATATCGCGAGCAGAATGGCCATGTGCCATTTCGATCGTAAGACTAGCGGAGGCCTGTACTAATGAGCTGTGCTACTAAAGGAATCGAGCGATAGAATCCTTTAGAGGTCTCAGTGAAGGAAGATTTCTCTTTTCTTTCTCCTTTTTTCTTTAACGCATCTCGAAGCACAGTACATGTAGAGGCCTCTATCTCAAGTTCCTGCGTTACATTCGGAAAATTTTAGATATCGCTTCCCTGACGCAATATTTTCCCGCATGATTTCTGCGCGATTTCCGCTGCGAGGCACATATCAAAGTAATATCATGCACACGCTCAGATATATAGCGAGAATATTTGATATCTTGTTTAATATACGCAAGAACGTCGTACACATCGAAAAACATTATATATGTTTCCACTCACGCTTTTTTTTCTTTTTTCTTTTTTTTTTTAATCCGTCTTCACACTTTCGTAGTAATGTCTAGCAACGCGAGGCGCGCGCATTTATTTCACAGCAAATTATATATTTGAGTTACATTCGCGATGAAAATACGAAACCTCGCACTAAAGACAATATCGAACGCATCAAACTAAGAATGAGCACAGATCGACCGGAAAAAATATAGAAGCGTATGAGCAGAGTATCGCATTATTGATCCAAGGAAGGAACCGTCGAATTTTCGACAGTGGTCGAGTAATGCGGCTCCGCCGTTGGAGGCGTATCATTATCGCGCGAAGAACTTGCTACGTGAGGCGCGGCGGGAGTCGCCGGCTGAGATGGAGTCATCCCGGCAGACGGCGCGTATATCAGCCGATATCCAGTTGGCAAGAAGAAACCGCCGTGGGGTGTATAGCTGAAGGCTTGGAAATTCGGTAACGACTGCTGGCCTTCGTGATACTGGATATAAGTCGTGCCCGTTGAATTAGATATCGATAAAGGCGCGAGTCCAGTTGTCGACGAAATATTCGCTCCCTCTGACAATATAGGAGTGAATTGGTACTGCGTCGAATTGCCAACTGCCGTGTTATGCATCGAATCGATTCCTTCGGTTAAATCATTTGAACAGTTATTACTCTGCTGGGAGACTACACTTTGCATATTTTCGGAAGGCACTACTGGAATTGGGATAACATAAGCATGCGGTATTCCAGCCGATGCCTGCTGCTGTGGTTGAAGCTGCAGTGGAGTCTGCTTCAATTTTTGCATGGCTAACCGTAGAGTCTCCTCTGTATCCGGATAGTTGTTCGGTCCTTTCTGCAATGGAGTCTGCGGTGCCGTGCTGAACATGAAATAGTCTTCCGTCCCTGGAATTCTAGATCCTATTAAATAATAAAAACTGTGATACTTCATTCTTACTAGATATATAATATTATTATGTATGAGATATATATATATAT